CCCCAAAACCCCAAAACCCCAAAACCCCAACTGAATAGATTTTAGCTCATAATCTTAATAATTTTTATAAATATCACATAGAAATAAAAATACTATTGCATCATCATAGCTCTTAAAGTAATTTTTAAGCCTCACTTTACTCGGTTCTTACAGTATATCTGTTTGATTAAAACATTTGAGCATATTCCTCCTTCATATTTATCAAGACATTTTCAAAGTCGCTTTAAAGAATTTCTTCAAATACTTCCTTTCCTACCTTTTCATTTTAGTTGAACTGATTTTTAAGTTTTCTTAGCATATCATTCATTTAATCTAGCACTTAGAGTCTTTCTTAAAGCTCATCATCGATAACTGTTAATTCCGGCTTATTTGTGCTCATTTCATTTTTAGGGCTTTCTTAGTTACACATTTCGTCATCTTAGATTGACTCTCTCAATTTATCTAATTACTTTATTGTCTTAGTAAGTTTTTACTATTCTTTGGGATTTTAAACTGTGAGGTCCTTTTGCTTGTGCTATTATGGAGATGTTGACATGTTTCTTACTCCGGATGAGTTCCTAGAATTCACTTTTTAAGGCTTCATTAAACTGTTATTCTATTGATCATCTATTGACTTATTTTTTAAAGGTGATATAGATGACTTTTCAACAACTTTAGGTGATTTTTATGGTGACATCTCTGGTTTTTATCTTTTTGTCTCTTTCTATATACTCTCAGTAATTTTAATCGTTGCTGTGTTATTATTTAGTTTGCTAGTCCAGCAATCTACCTTAGATTTAACTTTCTTTAAGTAACTTAGATCTATTGATTCTTTAATTGACTGCATTGGTGGCTGGTGTTTACTTTACAACATTTCATTTTAGGGTTTTGTCCTCTTATATCTATTTTAGGAAGAATTTTTCTAATTTTACTCTATAGGGGTAAGCATTAATCCTGTTTTAGTAAATTTCGGATGTGATTTCTCTTCTTTAAATGGTCCAGATCCAATGCTCATAGATGGCATAATATTGCTGCTTGATCTCTAATGCCTCATCGATTACTATAAATCTGCTTCATCTTGACTTTTCTTTTTTAAGAAAGCTTTTCTCTATGACGGCATAAGGTTTCTTAAGAAATCTTCATTCTTTTAAGATCTTTCAATAGATACACTTTCATTCACACTTCCAACCAATGACTCTCTTGTAAGAAGTCCTCCTGGAGTGGTATGAATTGTAGTAGGAGATCTAACATTTGTTGTTCTCTAAGTATTCTTGAAATTTTGATTACTAGTGTTTAAATACCCCATATTTTATACTCTTTAGAATGGCATTCTCTCTGGAGAGTTTGCTTGCTAAAGTATCATTAACTACTACAATTTTTGGGTTTAACTCATAGACTATAACTAATTCTAATGTTCCTTTATCAGTAATTCATATTTTTCGATAGTTCTGTTTATAGTAGTAATCATGTTATCAATTGATTTCTCGTTTTTTATGTTCTCTGAGAGTTAATTCAGATTGTTTAGTTATCTTGTTACAGTACTAACTTAGGAATCAAAGGCAATAATATCATTAGAATCAGCAACAGACTGGCCTAAACCATCTAATTGAGTCATTTATTACTAAATCATATTCTTTTATTCAACCTTAGCTTATTTTTTAGCATCTCTTGCATTTTATAATGGATCGTACTTTAAATTCGCCTTTCTTTTCAAGAAACTTTTCTAAGGTTGAGGGGTTAAGTCTCTATTTTAGGAATTGAAAGTTTCCGTCTTAAAAAGATCTGCCTAGCTTTTAGTATTGGTGTTATTATTTTTTACTTCATTCTTGTTGTTCTGCTTAACTTTAATTGAACTTTTAGGTTTATGCTTTTCAGCTGCTTATTCCCACCAAGGCTTTATATCTGCGGTAGTAGCCATTGAATTTTCTGATGCCTTTAAAATAGAACTCCTTTCAGATTCAAATTCTTAATTTTTACTTGCATTCTTTTTTTAATTTAAATCCTTTCTAGGTACTCTCGAATTAGGTTTGATTTTAACAGGACTTTCATGACTGATTTTACTGAACCATAAAGGATCAGACATAAGTTTATTAATTGAATCTAGAATTTGTTGTTTACTACGAGGAAGATTTGATCTGAACTACTTTTTCATTACTTCATTCACAGATGGATCCATCTCCATTTCAAATAAGAATTTCTGGTAATCATGATATTGAGTGATAGCATTCTTGACAAATTTAGATTAGTATACTTTTCTAAGTTTCCATCCTTGATAATAGGCTAAGAGTTGTCTTTTTATAAATTTAATTAGGTTCTTGCCATTTTTGTTGAACTTAAAAGTTCCATTTAACTTATTCCCTTGTTTACTTTATTTTTGAAGGTAAAACTTTTGTACAATTGTAATCTTATCTTCAAATTATCTATACTCCTTCAAAATTTGCTGTTTTAATTCAAATTTTTATAATAGCACTTCAATTTTCTATTTTGTCAAGGAAAATTTATATTTTCTGTATGCTCTCCAAAATACTTTTGCATGCTAACCTAATAAAGATTTCTTTGGCTTTAAATTTGAAGTTGAAGTTGATTCACCAAGGGAAACTACGATTTACATCACTTCATATTGCTTTTTCTATTTTGTAACAGGAGTCTTATCTCTTTCACTTTATATCTTCACGGCCACAGGTTAGATAATGCTTTTTTTAGCAGAACTACTCCTATCTTTACTATTTATTGATTACTATTTGTAATTACTGACTTCATTTTTCTAGTTTGGTCTAATAAGAACTTTGGGAGGAGATTTTTGTTTATGATTATTTTGATTTGTAGAAGACATTGATGTTGATGGACGCATATTCTAATTGCTATACATGCTGCTACTATTCATACTAGTATTCATCACTTGATGATTAATGTTATTCTAATTAGAAGCCCTCTTCTTTTATTATTACTGCACATTTGAAGTTGAAAGTTTGGTTGAGCTTTTAGTCCTAGCTGTATTAAGATTTCCCATCGATCTCTAAGAAGTCAAGACTTTTACTCCTTCGTTTGATGTTGAATTAATAGCCCCTAGGTTAACCTACACTTTCTTAACATTCATTTATCCTGGTTTGCTCATTTCACTTATCATTGATGATGTTGAAGTTTCAAACAATAACTTTGATTAAGAAGAGCTTTTTTCCATTAGGCGCTTTTTCAATGGGACATAAAGTTATTTGTTCTGATCTTTTCGAGCTAGAGCAGAGGATGAGCCACCAGCGAATCCTGACACACCAATATCTTTAAAAGATGTGTCTGGATAAATCAAATTAGTCTACAATCCCATATTTTAACTTTAAAATTCAGTTCCATCAATAAATTCATCATGATTATTTACACTTGAGTCTTAAAGGTCTATTATGGATTACGAAATTGATTATGAGAACTCTGATATTTACTGCTAGTTCCTTAGATTACCCTTATCACCTTTCTTAGTTGGCTTTTACTTGGACCCAGTGAACTATGAAATCATAGAACTATTCTTAAAATTGCTCATACTAGATTTTCTATCAAAGGTAGTAGCTGATTATTGCATTTAAGAAGATTGTGGAGATTTTCGTCCTTAGAGTTTTTAATTGGCAATTTACTTAATGCTGATGGAAGCCCTGCTATTCTCTTTAAAAATGTTAGATGATCTTGATGATTCATCGCCCTAAATAATAATCAATGAATATAACTAACCTTAGTATTTTTTCTATGAGCTGCGTTTCCTATATTTTCATAAGTTTAGGTTTAAATTTCAATCGATGTTGACTGATTGTGCTGCTATCTAGTTTAGCTTGTTAAATCTATTTTCATTTTTTGCATTTTATTTCTATTATTAAATTTACTCTAACACCTTTTTTCCTTTGGGGTTTTGGGGTTTTGGGG